TGGCGTACGGTTACCTTCGCTTTGGAGACCTCTCATTAAGCAAATATCGTCCGCTCCACTCGTCAGTAAAACTTCTACTGTCAAAATATGTTCACCAACTTCCGCAGCAATCCTCGCGCCATTCACCTCGCAACTCCCACCTCAACCTCCACCCAAATCATGTCGCCATTTAGTGTATAAATGAACCGTCCTCTATTCCCAGTGCCAGTAATACTTTGATAAGTGATCAATGTAGTAGTGTCTGAAGGGTTGGGAGAATGAGACCTCGAAAGCCCTGAAGAAAACATCGAAGAATATGTCGAAAGCTGGTCGCACTGATAATCGACGCGGTTCAACCCGAAAGACTGTTGGGTTTAATATTAATTCCTGTAATAGCATTAATATTAGCCTTTTAAGTAACAGCTAAGAGTGTCGTCTAGGATGCCAATTTATAACCTGCCTATAAAACGCAGAGTTGCTGTTCCCAGGGCTGTTGGCTAACGATCGGTCCAAGAAACTTCTGCAAGTTAGCGGTTTCTATTGGAACTGAATAATTAAATATAAAGTTGGCGAACTGCAGCTAGTTCAAGGTTAATATTTTTTCATATAAGAGCTCCCCTTATTAATAAAAGTCAATCTCATTGCTTTGACCTTTAAAGTGTAATTGGTGTATCTGCTTCCTCTTTGGATTCTTGTTGGACGTTGGGTCTTATATTAAAAGTTAAGCCTTAAAGTTTCTATCTAATGGAATTTCTGTGTTGTGGTGAAGGTGGAGGCTTATCCTGAGACCAGGCGATTGCAATTGTTGGGAATCTTTTGTTTCTACATTTATAGCAAAGGTATAAGATAACTAGGGTAATAACCAGTGATTAGGTTGATACGGTAAATAAGAATACTGATTCCTCGATGAATGGTTGGTTTATGATATGGTCTAGTTTTTTTTAATATTTGGTATGGTCTAATTTGTGTTGTGCAATGTCTAAATTATCTACGTTGATCTTGTTCAGTTTTAACGGTTTTAATTTTGATATGTAACTCTTTGTCTCGAAATGGTCACAGCATCTGTAGGGTACGTTAACTGGGTAACTTCCATAGGTGATTAGATTTATACTGGCGTCAACTCTGGTATGGCCGATGACTGCGGTACATTCGGGATTTAATTTTAGCATTGAATTTGTTTTGATTATTTGTGTAGTGACGTCTTTTCTTGCACACCTAATTGTTACTGGTAATAAATTAGTAACCACAACTTTCGGTCAATTTCTTGCATATTGTATACTTTTCTAAGAGCATCGAGATTTGCCAACTTTTTCAAAAAACACTGAGGGGGTTTCAAAAGCTAAGTTTCACATAATGACGTTGGTGTCTATGAGAAACGTAAGAATGTCTGCACAGATTACTTGGTTTTGACTGATCTGTTTGCATTTTTCGGTGCCCATGGTTAATACATATGAAGTTAAATCATCATCTCGTGCTTTTTATTTATGCACAGTTAAAAGTATATGCTAAAAACCAGTTTGATTATCTATAATTGGTATAGAATATAATTGATATAGAGTATAGATTTCGGATCAACTAATGGGATTTCAAGGACACAAATAAATATTGTATGTAACTGATAGGCTTGAAGTCTTATTGTATCAATATACTGAGCTATATTTGACATATAGATGGGTGGAGGCAATACAATTTTTACAATGACTGTGAAATTAACTTTAATGTTCATTAATGAAAATTATGTCTATGGGCGAGATAATAGAACTGTTTAAAATTTAAAATATCATTTAAATAATTTTAGACTCAGATTCGGTCAGACTCACATTAATTTAGTGTTTTTAATGGTGCTTGGTGAAAAGAGATGTCGTCACTAATGTCCATAAGTGAAGTTTCGATATTTTTTAAGTCTTCAGTAAATGTTTCTTCGTCTATTTGCAATTTTTGAATAGTACAGTTAAAATTTTTTAGGTCTAAAGTGGTAACAGATATTTGATTTTTTAAAAGTTTTTTAATTTGAGCTTGACTAATGTTTATGCCATTTATACAATTATTAAAGTATTCGCCGTTGGAAGAGTCTAAATTTTCACTAATAGGTTTCCATATTATTCCAATACCATTTACTACACCGCGTTTACGCGTTTATTATAAGGTACTATGTCGGAGATTATTTTTTTTTAATTTAAGTTAACGGAAATAGAAATTTGTTTTAGCAAACGTACATGTGTCTATACTTAGGTTTGAAATGCAAGTTTTCTCGGTGTATCCGCGTTAATAAATTTTTCCAGTAGGTTTTCTAAAATTCTGTCATTGTTGGATATTGTAGTTTTGATGGGGAACAATTCCTTATCAATGAATAACCTAGGCCACATTAAAAAAATTCTGGATTAGAGAGTATTTTCCCCCCACAGCCTGGGCTATCAGGTTAAATTTGAACATTAATCACAATTATTACCATATAATCAATTTTATTATTTAGAAAATACAAAATACAGAATATATATGTGTACCTCGGAGGTAAAGGACACTATGTCCATTTTTATCGAAATTTAGATTATTGCACTTTTGAATATAACTTTTCTGGCTCTACACATAGGTAAACCATACTATGTCCAGAGACAATTTTACGGCAAGTTACCGACTTTTTAATAAACACCAAGTCCACTTCCAGTCAGAGGTAAACAACACCATGTGGACTTGGTGTTGTTTACCTCTACTAAATGTGTGCATTGTCATTTACCATCCGGACATAGTGTTATGTACCCTTGTACCTGGCGGAATTGTCATGAACTAAAATCATTGCAACCTTTTTATTTAGATCGCAATTGTGTTAGATTGATAAAAGTTGTACAATAAATTCGTTGTTTAATAATTGTAAAATGGATCCGAACTCTCGTGAAAAAAGAATATTACAATTACTGTCATGTTATCGTTTCATGTGTCGACATCCAACCTACTCTTCGATTAAGAAAAAAAGACCTAAATTCTACCAAATCTAAAAATAATACACTACACTACCATTTTACAGTGAACAATCAGCGATTGAGGGTGTGCAAGATTATTTTTTTAAACACACTTTGTATATCTAATTTAGTAGTAGTAAATATGTTGAAAAAAATTGAGCCAGGAGGTTTAATAAAAGCTGATCAAAGAGGTAGACACACGCTAATCAATAAAACTCCTACCGAAACCATAAATAGTATACATCAACATATTAAATCATTCCCAAAGTGCGAGATTCATTATTCCAGAGAAAGGAGTAAGAGAGATTATCTTGGCACAGAACTTACGATAGAAATGTTGTATCAACTGTACATTGATGAATACAATGAGAGACATGTAGATCCAAAGCTCAGAGTAAAAAAGTAATTGGACGCAGATATTTTTAATAAAGACTTCCAAGTTTTCGTTTAAACCACCCGAAATAGACACTTGCGATACATGCAGTACATTCACCGCTCAATTGAAAAATAATCTTACTGCAGATAAACTAACCAGTGTACAGGCTGATCATGATACTCACCTAATTGAATTTAAAACTCGGTATAACTTACAACAATTGGACTTTTTAATGGCTAAAGAGTCACCAAAACACAAAGTACTATCTGGTGAATTGCAAAAATGTTTGCTTTCACCACTAACAAATAATTGTATTAGTTTCTACAAAAGGAAGCATTTGTAGAAGCAGTGATTCTTCTGTACAATGTATGATGTGGGACGAATCGAAAGGGTTCCGAGGTGCAAATGAAATTGCCTCGTGAATTTTGAAATGGACTGACAATACAATTCCAGGTAGTCAAGTAAAGGACATCACTCTTTGGACCGATAACTGCTATGGACAAAATAAAAATATAAGTATTATAATGTGCTATTTTTGGATACTGCGTACGTACCCTCAAATAAAGACGATCACTCAAAAGTTTTTACTGAAAGGGCACACACATATGGAAGCAGACAGTGTTTATGCTTTAATCGAGAGAAAAAGAAAGAAACTCTCCAATTTGGCCATTTTAACACCATGGGACTGGCAACAGCTAGTTAGGCAAACATCAGGTAAATACACAGTGCACAATATGGAACTTGCAGATTTTAAAAACTTCAAAACGCTGTTCGATAAGAAATTGTCACATAATCCTCCTTTTGTAAGTAGAAAAAAGAATGTTAATGAAGAACACATTGGAAAGCTCTTTTATAAGACCGATTTCAATAATCAAAATATGTATGAAGTAGACTTCATGAGGTATCGAAGACAGCAAGTAACGTTTCCAGCTCAATTAAATCAAGTCTCAGTAAATCCATTACCAATCAGAAAACAAAAGTTTAATGACTTCATTACCTTACTGCCTTTTTCCGTCAGTTTGTCATGCATTTTATCAAAATTTAACACATAGCGATGTAGCCACAAACGATTACCCACAAGAAGATGAAGATGATATGGAGCATCTTTAACAATTTTGAAACTTGTCTATAATTTTACTTTATTTAACTTTTCTTAATTTAATCATTATAACATTATAATATTTACCTCTAATAAAATAATAGTATAGGTTGTTTACTGTATTTGTATTGTTTATTTCGTAGTGACCTTAACATGCAATGTCAGATTATTTAAAAAAGTTATTAGAGGTAAACAACACTATGTCCAACTACACATTTAAAAAAAAAATTTATATAATGATCGGTAAACTTCAGGTACATAACACCTCATGGAAGGAAAAACGATTATACACACGACAATAATAATATATTAATCTTGGTTAAATATAAGAAACATTTGAGTATTTCCTGATTAAAAATGTTAAAAGTGCTCTTCTGAAACAGTAAGAAAATGGACATAGTGTCCTTTACCTCCGAGGTACGGTATAGAAATAAAATTAGGTGGAAAGTGAGTTTAGAGGCTCATAATTATTATATATGTCAAATAGAAAATTTTCAGCATTTACTGTATATACACCTTACGTATTTTCACTGACTCTTTTTAATTTTTTTCTATAAAAGAAAGTTCTCTATATAAAATTCTTTTTCAGACTGGAGTGTACGCAAAATATATAGTGGAAACAAGGGACGTGGTCCCAGGAATAGGAGCTCAAGAAAGGACATATAACGTAACCCTAAAAGTTAATACCCCATTTAAAGCTTTGCCAAAGTTGAATTTGTTTGGTGCTTTGGAAACTGAGGAGAATTTTTATCACGCAAAGCTATTACTCAACACAAATAGGAGTGATATATCAGTGGACGCTACTACTGAGGTAAATATGTTTAGTTTCAGGAGGAGGCATGCTTTTCAATTTCCAGTCGGACACCCCAATTTAAGAGAGGACACTGGTGTTCTTAGTTCATGAACGTGTTCAATACACTTTGTTTTCGGGTACATTTAAATCTAGATTGTGAAAAAAGAAAATACAACTATAATTATATGTATTTTAAAAGTTTTATATATTAAAATACTTTTTTTTTCTAATTACATTTCAATATAAGTTTTTATCTTATGTGATGCCAATAGCAGTACCCTTTATAGGTTATTGATTATTAACTTTAGAAAGAAAATATAACGTTAAATGGGTTTGATTGTTTCATATGGTCAATGGACACCCAAATATCAAAAAAAAATCGAAGAGTGCTCCCATTTAACCCTCCGTTGGTCGCTATCGGTCTCACACACCGACCACAGAATTATTCATTCGGGATTTACAAATAACTGTTATTTTTCTACCGCAACTTTCTGTACCTCTCCCTATCGTGCTAGTATTCATTCTTACATTCCTGGGTACAGTTGTGTGAGTTTTATAACTATAAACTATTTTCTAACTATAAAACTAACTATAGACTAACGGTGTAGCTATTATTTGTTGCAAAACTGGCAGAACAGGTAAATATTTATCATCTTATTATTGCAACTGTATGAAAGAGTTCTGAAAGCCAGAATAGAAAAAGAAGCCACAGAGATCGAAGAACAAAGTGGATTCCGACCAGGGAGATCTTGTGTCGACAATGTATTTACTCTCAAACATCTAACGGAAAAGAGATTAGCAAGAGGACTAGAACTTCATGCCACTTTTATAGATCTCTGTAAAGCGTTTGACTTCGTACCACTGCAGAGACTATGGACAACATTGGAAAACGCAGGTATAAATGCAGTATATATAAATGCAGTATATATAAATGCCGTGAAAAAGCTATATCAAGATAACCAAGCTTATATTAAGGTTGGAAACCAAATTTCCAAGGGTTTCACCCAAACAAAGGGTGTCAAACAGGGCTCTTGCCTCTCCCCAACCCTATTTAAAATATATCTTGGTAATGCTTTAAAATATTGGATGAGAAAATGCAGCACAATGGGCATATGGGTAAATAACACTTCTATATACACAATCCTCTTCGCAGACGACCAGGTAGTTCTTGCCGAGGACCTACAAGATATGACGTACATGATAAACAAACTAAAAGACGAATTCAAAAAATGGGGATTAGAAGTTAATACCGAAAAGTCACAATACATGAATATAGGAGGCATCGGTCAGGACATGAAAACAGAAAGCGGATTAATTAAAAACGTTGATCAGTAGGTTCGAATATCTCGGAGTTACACTAAGCGAAGACGGGAGAGACGACAAAGATATAACAAGAAAAATAGGAAAAGGAAAAAACATGATAAAACACTACATCTGATCCTGTGGAATAAAACTTTACCTAAGAAAACAAAGAAAAATATATATCAGGCTATGATTCAGCCGGTACTGACGTATGGGTCAGAAGTGTGGGTCTTTAACAAGAAGATGTCACAAAAACTCCTCTCAACGGAAATGATGTACTGGAAAAGATGTTCCGGGTTAACTTTATTTGACCACATAAGAAATGAAAACATAAGAGAGAGAATGAAAGTAAAGAACACAATAATGGATACAATAGCCGAAAAACAATTAAAATGGTATGGACACCTGTGACGGATGAACGAAGAAAAGATACCACGAAAGGTTTGGAACTGGAGACCTACACAGAGAAATAAAAGGGGAAGGCCAAGAAAGAAATGGATATCCAATATTCATATAGAAATGGAAAATAGAGGCTTCAAGAAGGAGACTGGGCCGATAAGAAATTATGGCGATTGGGATGCGAGAAGCGACAAAATTAAAGTTGCAAACACTCGCTATATATATATATATATATATATATATATATATATATATATATATATATATAATGTTCGGAAAGATTTCTGCGGTTAGTACAATAAAACCTAGAGCCCGCGTCGATGTCCATTTTGCCAAGCTTTCGGCATCCTCTCTGATGCCTTCCTCAGGGCTTCCGAGGTCTCAGTCTCCCGAGCCCCCAGACACTACTACACTGTTCACTATTCACGGCACATCGCACACGGCACTTCATTTGGAAGTTTGATATTAATTTTAGTAATAATATTAATCTTAGCTCTAGGTTTTATATATATATATATATATATATATATATATATATATATATATATATATATATATATATATATATATATATATATTATATATATATATATATATATATATATATATATATATATATATATATTATTGCATTTTATCGGTAGTTTTTTGTCAATTCCTATTTATAGATGTCCTTTGAAGCCGAACAACTTTGATTTCAACGATTGTTAGAATTATGGACAATGGTTCCTACCGTCGATGAAAATTATTTTGACGATGAGAGAAGTGAAAGCGAAATTGATCAAATTGAACAACATGATAGAACGTGGAGGAGTGAATTAGTTCCTATGCACTAGAGTGCTTTTGGGTGAATTTTATGCACCTTTACTACAAATAAATCTATACAAAAGTTGTTCAAAATTAAAGATCATATCGCACACGTCAAGGAATACAGTAACATCTAAAAATTTGTACATATGAGTTTATTACGCCATTCAACTCGAGTTTGTGAGTAAATTATCTGCTTGCGTTCGTAGAATACTATATCCAACCAGTCACTCTAAGACTGCCGGACAATTCGCTCAAGCTCCTTTAGAAGTTACGGTATTTCGCGGACGATTATTATATATTTTTAGTTTGTTCTTGAAAATTACAGTGTTTAGCGGACGATTATTATACATTTTTACTTTTTTTTTTGAGAAGTAGCGTTGTTTCACGGACGATTATGGTATATTTTGTATATTGTATTAATTTTGTATATTTTATTTTAACTTTTACAATTTTAAATAACGGTGGCTTCTGTCTTAAGTATACAAATAAAGTTACACTGACTGCTCTGTTCCAACTTCCGTCCTAACTTGTCCGCGTAAAGGCTTAATAGTGATCTGGGATCTGTCAGTGTGTCTGCCGTGTATACAGTATACAGTTAACAGCACTGCTCCCTACCGCACTCCTGCCTCCAGGGTTTCGACTTCGTACAGTGTTGACCCTATTTGAACTCTGAACCTCCCGTTGGCTAGGCATGACGCAAGAGGACATGTTATCGCCTCACTTAAACCATATTTATTCATTTTTAATACGTATCATCTACTTTAGTGGTACAAAAACATAAAAACATTTATATTTTTACTCAAATGTACAGTAACGGACTAGAAACACACCTACTGTTAAGAAATAACGCAAAGTAACTACGACGGTGACGACGGTTAAAAAGATTTCAGAGAATTTAACACTGTATCCCGTAATTCACTGTGCCCTTTCCTTCTCTGCAGCATTAATTGTGCTCAGTATGAGGCTGTATATATTGGTGAAACTGGGAGAAATTTGTTTAATCGCATAATTTTCAATAAAAGTGAATGCAGAGTCAAGAAACTTTCTATGCTTTGGCACACCACGTGACTGATTAAGGCCATATCATGGATTTTGACAACTTAAAATGTTTTGTTTCGTGTTCATGTTCCTGTCAAACGTTGCTTAGTCTGTCCCGATGCTTCTCTCTTCTACTCCATGTAAGTAATGCCGAAATAAGGAATAAAAGTCTTAGTCGACAGTGCTCGACTGTCACTTATATTGAGACAGGTGCCGTAACGATAAGTGACAGTCGATACGACACATGACTTAATTAACAATTGTCTTGTCAAAAATAATGCCGGCCACATGGTGATTAAAATATAACAAATTTAATTATTTAATTTAAGCTTTGTTTGCCATCTTCCTCTAAGTAGGAGATGCGTTTTGGTTTGTGTTTGGAAAACAATGTGTAGTTCCACATCTACAATAATTTACACTAAGAAATAGTGTCAACGTTAAGGTAATATTAAAAATAACATCTTTAATTACGATGATTGTAAAGAATGTTTTTCCATTACAGCAAGTTCTGATGAAGCCCAAAATTATGTGGCGAAAGCTTGACTTTTAATAAAAGACACTCACTTTGAAGCACCCGTTTTTTATTGCTTCCTTAGTATTGGGTCGTTCCCGGTTACCTTCAGCTGTCTATATATATATATATATATATATATATATATATATATATAATATATATATATATATATATACCGGGTGGTGAATCGTCAAACGGACCATAGGAAACTCGATGAGAAATTTTAAATTGTTCAATTGCTGCTTCCCTAATTATTTTAGATCAAAAGTCATAAAAAACTATTTGTAGAGGACTAAAATCTGAATTAAAAACAACTGTTAAAACTGTTCTACGACTCAAATGTACTTAAAAATTTTGCAAAAATATAATACATTTTTCAGGCCACCCCTAAAAGTTAGGCCACACGTAATGCAAGAATATATATTAGGACGTTTGTGTTTTATTATATTTATGACAGATGTTTGACAATTTAAATTGTCAATTTTTTTATTTTATGATTAAATTATAAACAATGAATTTTACTAAATACTACTACTAATGAACATTATTACTTTGTGAACAATAAATGATATTGTTTACAAATCCATCAATATAATGAAATGTACTCAGTTGACGAAAAATCGCATAATGTTGTATTCAGGCAATAGCGCGAACCTTTTCCTGCCACTACCGGATCTTTATTTAACGTAAGATATTCTAATTCACTAAAATTTAATTCCATGTTAAGTTAAGTTATACAATTCAATGAATTCCAATATACTGTTACTGTGATCTTTATTCCTAATAATAATATATGATAATTTCTAAACATAAAACTATAACAAATGTTATAATACAACATGAATAAAACATTTTTATTATTGCTTTTTTCTTCTCAACTGAGTACATTTTTTAATCAACTTAATTTTTTTTAACAATAAATCACAAAATTTTGGCCATTTAAATCATAGATAAA